ATAAATAACATAATTAAAAATGTGATTAATTTCCACTTATACCCAAATTCACTCTCACCCCTTGTACACCCAATATATAAATCTCCTAATTATACAATATTCATATTCAAGAACTCTCATCATATCATATATTATTCCCATGGATGAAAACAAAGAAGAAGTTCATCTGGGGCTCGATTTGGGTCTCGGTTTGAACGATTGCAACCCAACGAGAAGAGAAAACCATACTCCGCAAAACAAGAAGCGCGCATTGTTTCTCGATCTTTCGATTCCACTCCACACGGGCGATCAGAGTGCGAGTCGCGAGTCGAGCTCGAGCCTTAAGATCATGGGAAAAGACTCGACAAGACAAGGGATTGTCGAGAGAATTAACGGGTTTTGTGGCAAAGAGGATGATGAGAGCAAAGCTTCCATGGATAATTTTGAGTGCAGGAAAAAATTGAGGCTCACTAGAGATCAAACAACATTGCTCGAAGACAGTTTCAAACAACAGACTACCCTTAATACGGTCTCTCTCGATAAGTTTTTAGACAGACGTAACGGTTAAACAGTTATATTTTTTTTTTTTAATGAATAAAATATGCATTTTTGTTATAAAATACCACCTCACAAGATTTGAGACTTTTTTTAGGCTCAAAAACAGGCACTTGCAGAGAAATTGTGTCTCAAACCAAGGCAAGTTGAAGTTTGGTTTCAAAACAGGAGAGCAAGGTGCATAGCTAAATCCAATTATTATTATTATTATTATTATTATTATTATTATTATCGATTTTCCTAATAAAGTTTTTATATTTAAATTGTCCATAGTCGCATATTAACTTGAAAACATAACACAGAAATGAAGGAACAATAAAAGCAACTCAATTTCTTGTTCGAGTCATCATTTAACGGGTCGATCATTCATATTTTTTCTTAAGACAAATCCGAACTTATGCAATGAAATGTCATGCTTCGTTTATATAATTTTTATAGTATGATATTTCATTTTGAAACGTAGGGTACAAAAATGCAAAATTACTCTATGTTGAAATGTCATAGTTTTGATTCTATTAATTTTTGGAGTATGATATTTCATTCTGAAAATATGATTATCTATCGAATTAGTATGCGTGATTATGATTGTCTAACTCAGTTAGTAAGTATAAATTGCATTGTCATACCCGATTTTGTTGTTGTTTGATTTTGCTTTCTTCTTAAATGTGACACCATGAATGTTAATACATAACATAACCATGAAAAGCATGTTAACTAATTTCTCATAATTTATGCTTCTAATGCAGGACAAAATTGAAGCAAATCGAATTGGACTGCGAATTCTTGAAGAGAAACTGCGAAAGATTAAGCGAAGAAAACTGGAGATTGAAGAAGGAGCTTTTGGATCTCCGATTGTCACTAAAGATAGAGAAAACACCTCCGCAGCCGCCGCCGCCGCCGGTCCTCCACCATATTCCCAAGGCGGCGCGTGAGAAATAGGGACGGCGGGGAAATGAAAGCACCCGCCATGAGGGTGGTCCAAAACAGCCCAAAAACTAATTGATACAGCAAAAAAAAAAAAAAAA